CCATTGCTATTATGGGTAGATTTTTTAAAGTACAATGCCTTAATAAAAAATAATTTGAAAGTAYATTRYTGTAATAAAGAAAAACAAAAGTAGAATGCTATAATAAGAAATTTTATGAAAGTAAGTTGCTATTTCATGCATTTAACCCTATTAATTAGTTATAATTAATAAAACATTATTTATATCTTATAAATATTTAATTTCAAGATTTCTCATTAGTAGGAAAAATAAAAAATAATTTATCTTTCCTAAGTAATCATTTTTGGGAAGTTCTCTAAATTTGAAAATTTTCATTTGCTTTCTCATACTTTTTTTGTTTTAGAAAAGACAGAGAATATGTTAAAAGTTACAAAAGTTATTATCAAAATAAAACCCCTGTATCCATCAAGAAGTACTCTATCGTATTTATGACTTATGAGGGTCCTGACACATATCCTATATTGTCTTGACATATCTTTATGGTACCCCTCTTTGCTCCAAGCTCCTCCATATAACATCTCGAGGTACGTTATCATAGGCCTTTTCCAGGTCTTTGAATGCTGATGCATATCCTTATTAACCTCTATATTTTTCTACGAGGCGTCCAAGCAAATATATTGCTATATTGATTAAGCCTCCCTTGGCATGAATTTAAATTGGTCTTGTCCTTGTGGTTTAAAATTGCGGTTTTGGTACATATGGTTTGTAATTCATTGTTGTTTTTGTTCTTATGATTTACAATTTGCTGTTGTTTTGGTCCACATGATTCAGAAAATTTTACTGTTTTGGTCCTTGTAATTTACATTTTTTTACTATTTTGGTCCCTTGTACTTGAAAGTAGAAATCATTTTAGGGACATAAATCATAATTTCTAAACCACAAACCTCAGAACGAATATATGATCCATTATCAGAACATATCGTCACCACCATCACAATCACCATATCAGAACAAACTCAAGAAACTAGTAGTAAATTAAACCTCCAACTCGAAACAGAAACTGAAACTTAAATCATCTTTTTGTAAGTATATAATATTTATAAACGACAAATACCTCCTAGGAATCTGGGCTATGCTGATAACCTGAATACCGTTGGACCAATCACCCTTTGGTCCTTTAGGCATCTTTTGGATAAGAAAAAGTGCATGAAAAAAATAAAATACAAGAATAGGTACATAGAAACTACGTTAATTAACGAAATGACCTGTTTTTCTATTGTGGATTTACATCAACAAACGTTCGCCACAAACATTCATGTCGTCAAAAGAAGCTCGAGTTTGTGTGTCGAAATCTTTGATGCTTCTTCATGACATGCAAGTAGTGTAATAGCAACTAATTCACTTCCTTGCAAGGATAACTGCAGCATGTACAAGTTACAATCCAACGGCTCCTACTTGAGAGGCTTCATACCCTTCACAATTATACCAGTTAAGGGGGTTTAAAATATGAAAATATTTACAAAAAGGTAAATGATTATATATATAGACCAAGGTTCAGTTGCGAACCTGATTTTCGTTGCAAACCGAGGGACAACCGAGAGCATGACATGTTTCACTAATGGACAAGAATTTTTTTACAACATTTCATGATGAACGTTACGCCATTCATGATGAATGTCACAAACATTTGGCACCCTCTCGTTGATCCCTCGGTTCGCAACGGAAATCAGGTTCGTTAAGAACCTAATTTTCATCAGGAACCAGGGGACTGCCCACAGTGTGACATGTGGCATATTCAACAGGAATATGGACATGTTATGCATCATGAATATATGATACATGATGATTAACACGTCCATTTTCATCATGAATGTGTTTCATGATGAATAATACTTCCATATTCATCTCAAATGTGTTATTCATGATAAATATTCATCTTGAAAAGGAACACATGGTGCGCCACGGGTAAAGGAACTCCCCCTCCCCCCTCTTTATATGTGTATGTGTATGTGTGTGTGTGTGTGTATATATATATATATTTGAGTTGAAGAAAAAGTAGTGCATTCCATCTAAGAAGAAAATGAAGAAAAAGGACAAAGACTAAAGGCCGACGTTTGGTGTAACCCTATAGGGAAAACATCTCTCTGGTCATTGCATTCTCTTAACAAATTTTCAAAAAAGCACTTATTTCCAGAATTTTGGCATATTCTTCTCGTATATGTTTTCACCAGCAGGGCCATGGTTGCCAGGGTCATGGCTCTGATACCAAAACATATACGAGAAGCATAAGTTGAGGGGGGGGGGGGGGGGGTGTTAGTAATTGTTTGATAGTGCCCTGTTTAAAATAACAGAGGGGATGCCATGGGGGATATGTTGTTTTTCTGTTATCAACTTTGCAGTGGGAGAGATCTGGCTGTAGAATTCTAGTGAATCTGTAATTCCTTTTCAATTTCGATCACTTTAATCGATTACAATTGAGACCTTATCAGAGCTTTATTCCGAATGTGTAAATGCTACCTCTTGATGGCCTAAAGATGTCTTAGAAGTACGAATGTCATCAATCTCATCCTATAGACTGTAACTTTCAACTTTATTGCATGTATACGGTCACAACACTCATGCATATAGCCATTTCACTTACCCAAAATTTTATCTAGTAACTGAGATCCTTATCACTGGCAGACTATACATACGATGGATACCACAACCTAAACTATGAATTATCTTAATGGTGAAAAGACAGATAAATAAAAGGAAAAGAGAAAGAAAGTGACGAATGGTGTTAGAAAATGTGTCTACCTTAGATGTCCGGAACTCGTTAACCGCCTGTCGAAGAGAATCATCAGACAGAATCAGACGAGAAAGAGCTCCAGTGCTTAAGCTGCAATGTCCGTTAGACACCATCAGACTAATGAGTGCTTCTTAAATGATGATCAGAGATGTTAACATCTGAAAATTTTCAACTTAATTAATCTTCACAAACAAAACAAAGAACAAAAAATGCAAAGAGTGCCCTTGTCAGCAACGTATATAATGGATCAACTTATTATACCGTCTTACATCAAAGTAGAGCCCCAGTAACACTAACACAAAGAAAAGACTAAACCTCATCGACCATGGAAGAGATTAAAATTGAAATGTATTTAATTGTTCAACAAGATAGATTCTTGATATTTGATAGCAACATCAATTTTAATACAATTCAATAAATTATTTACACAATTTAAATATATCCATAACAATGTTGTATCTTTGAAAATAAGGGTCATTTACCAAACGCTTACCTGGGTAAGTGCTTACGGGCAAAATTCAACACTATCACTTACTTATCGGGTAAGATTTTAGTCCACCAAAACGGTATCGGATGCAATAATTTACCCAGTAAGCGCTAACCGTGGTAAGAGTCATCGCTCTCACCTACTGGGTAAGACTCTAGGTCCTTGCCTTCGCTCTTACCGGTAAGATTCTTGGTCCTTGCCATATTCATCCGGTAAGAAAATGTGACTTGGTAAGCGCTTACCTGGGTAAGCGTTTGGTAAAACGGCCCCTAAGTTAATTTACCAAGACAACAAAGGATCTTTTATACATAACCAGAAGGGACAAGTGACTACTCTCTTTCACACACCTTATCCATCACTCTCCTCCGTCGTAGTCGGCTGCATTGCACTTGACTGTACTCTCTTTCACTCACCTTATCCATCACTCTCTTCACATCTGCTTCTGCAGTGGTTTTCCTTTCTTGAGCAGATTTTATATCTGGGGTTTGAAGATTATAGTATTTGGGTTTTGGGTTTTCAAGATTGCTGTGAGGTAAATTTCTCTCTGGTTTATGTTTTCAAGGTAGCATCACAGTGTTGATTCTCTATGGTTTGTGGGACTTGAAGATTAATTGATCTGAGAACTAGGTTTCAGATTTACTACATAATTCCTCTCATTTTCCGTATTGTGTATGAACAGTTATTGGTTTCTTTTTCCTGTTTTCTCTTCATATTTGCTTTAAAGTGAACCAATGGTCGCTTTGGTTTCTGCAGATTGGAGATTAATCAATTTGGGAATTCGGTTTGAGATGTAAGTTTAAGTGCCCATCTCATTTTCCTATTTATGATGAATGTGTTCATTGTATTTTTGTGTTTTTCTCTTCATATTCACTTTGACTTGGTCTAACTCTCTCTTTGCCAAGTTTTGGGGCATAGATGGGTATTCTTTTACATTTAATCATTGTTCAATCTTCTATTTTGGACTGATGTACTATGTGAACTATATACAGAATAAAGAGGTCCCCCCTCCCAACATTCTTTTTTTAGTAATCGTAATCGCCTGTTTTGTATTTAATCAAAATGTGTCATTAAGGTGTGGTTCATGATGGTAATTGCATATTTGCATTATTAGATTCAGACACAGGAAACTGGATCAAAATTGGAGGTTGTTAATGCATTTGGGTGCAATTCTGAGTTGATCCAAATAGAATGATAAAATGGTCATTTTTGTCATTCAGACTGGTTATAGTGCATACAAAATAAACAGTAATTGCATAGTCTAAGGTGTGATTCATGATGGTAATTGCATATTTGCATTATTAGATTCACAGGAAACTGGATCAAAATTGGAGGTTGTTAATGCATTTGGGTGCAATTCTGAGTTAATCCAAATAGAATGATAAAATGGTCATTTTTGTCATTCAGACTGGTTATTGTGCACACAACATAAACAGTAATTGACCTTTTACAAGACAGATAGATTAATTCAGACATGGCTTCATGAAAAAAAGCAGCCCCAAACGATATTAATAAAGATGCCTTGGAAAAATAATATCACATACCCCAAATGTTTTGCAGCATCAGATACAGAACCCTCTACGGCAAATATTAGATCTAATAAAGCTTGCATTCCCTAAGAAGGAACACAAGAAAATGAGTTATGTAAGTAACACTTCAATAATTAAAACTCATGAGCAGGCTGGAGCCTGGAGGAATGAAGGTTGGAAGACCAAGGCGAAGGAGAAAGTAAACATATATACCAAACTGAACTTTGAGTTATTAGGCCCAATTTGAGGTCCACATTCTGATCCTCTTATTGTTGACTTTGCTGGAAGAATTTGAAGCAGCTCAGGAGGAGGTGTGTATGTTTCAAGCTCTATAGTGTTCCTGACTAGTCCAGAGATACAAAAGTATATATCAATTAACATATACATAAAATATGTAGCATTAAGGAAATCTCAGTTAGGCATGTAACCAAAGAAAAGGTTACCAAGCAAACAGGTAAAATGTCATGTGAATTTGAATATGAAAGAGAGCACTACTCCCTCCCTACCTCTCACTCTCTCAAAGAATTAAGTCCCTGCTCTCATTCGTAGGGTCTCCTTCTCTCTCTCCTTCATTCCCACTCTCTTCTCCCTATAGATAAGAATGCTATCTAAGTAGATTCAAGCCTTCAACTAAGAGCCTAAGAGCATCTCCAACAGCTATGCTAAAATGGAGAAACGAGGTTTTAGCAATTTTTGCTCCAACAACTATGCCATCTTGTATGCTAAAATAGAGAAAAAAGGGGAAGATTGTAAAGATCTCTAAATAGAGAGAAATTATTATTTTAGTACTTTCCCACCAAAACAAATAATTAACCGGGAAAAACAAATCCTTCCATCTCCCAACTTTCCATTTCTCAGTTGCAGATAACCTCTCACTTGCAGAGGCACCCAGTTTTCCATTCACGACAACAGGTACGTTTGGATGCCTTCCATCTCATAGTTTACCATATTTTGGTGGATTGGCAAAGTAGTCACAATAAACTCGTTGATGGCCCCCAATTAGATCGCGATTGGCAAATTTGTGGCCCATAATGGAACCATCATGATCTCCCCTTAAACTCTTGCTGGCAAGACAATTCTTCTTCTATTTGTAAAAGCAATAACTCTTCATGTACCTCATCCTCATCATTCATATGCATATCAAGTAAGTGACGGCTAGATAAAGAACGACGAGCCAGGAGAATTGTTTTCAAATGAGGAGACAAGTTTGTTTAAAAATAAGATAGAAAAAATGGTTGTAAATTGCTCGTATTTATAGATTAATTTGTCAAAAATCATTTACTACTAGTTGTTGGGAGTCAAACGTTTTTTACATAAAAATAATTGGAAGTTGATCATTTACTATTAGTTGTTGGAAGTTAGAAGAATCATATATTGAAAATCACAGTTTAATATAAATTTGTTGGAACATATTATTTTACATAAAATTTGTTGAAGGTTGCTATTCTATATAAAGTTTATTATAAGTTATCATTTTATAAAAAAAAATTGGAAATTACCATTTCATATGAAATTTGTTTAAAACTTAGTTTGATTGCTTGAAAGTTTGTTAAAAAATTGTTGCGGTATTAAATGTATTGAATATTTTAATAATATAATTAATGCTAGAATTGCTAAAATAGCTACTGGAGCTGTATGCAAAAAAAAATTATGATTTTGACTATTAATGCTCTACTTTGGAGAAATTTTAGCATGGTTGTTGGAGATGCTCTAAGATTGAAGCAACAATTGAGATAGAGATAGACCTAAACTTCCGACAGGAATTCATAGTGTTCTAGGTTTTAGTTGGATACTATAGAAGGTTTATAAAAGAATTTTCACAATTTTGGTACCCATTCACATCTTTGTGAAGAAAGATTAGAAGTTCCAATTGACCAAGTAATGTGAAGAAGTTTTCCAAACATTAAATGGAAGAAGTTCATTAGCACATCAGGGTATCATGTGTTTCCCACATGTCTCATAGTCATACAAAAATTAGAATGTGTCCAGATGCAAATCGTAAGGTTATGCTTGAGCATCATGAAAATAGAGAATCAAGAGAAGCAATATCACAGCAACAGAATTTCTTTTGGTTTCATCATTAGTCTACCTCAACTAGTTTTGAATAAAATATGTGTTTCATTGGTACATATACGTATATAATATAGATACATATATATAGGGTCAGATTCAGGGGAAAACCACAAAAAATGAGAAATTGAGGAACACTCTAATAACCATTCATTTGTGTGGTATGCACATGTGCATAAAACCAGGAAACATCTTCAATTATTTGCATGAATATGTACATACTGTACAGATGAATGGTTATTAGGATGTTCCTAAGTTTTTAATTGTTTGGGGGGTTTTCCCCTGAACCTCACTCTATATCTGTGTGTATGCAAACTGAAAATGGACAATACTCCTAAGATTCATTCTCTCTCTCACTCTCACAGAGGCATATATAAAGTGTGGAGGGTCATCTCTCCAGCACAAAGGCTGAAGTATAGTGCGTGAAACCCCATAAGTAAAAAAAATCCATTTTATCTAGTATAAAATAGATTATGGAAATTCAAAGTTGCTTATAAGTCATAGATTTGGAAGGAAAATTTTAATGTTTGCAGGCTATGAGATCAGACAATAAAGATAAAAATGCACCTTTAAGAGCTAGCAGACTACGCAATCGAGCTAGGGCAGATGCACGATTTTTGTGCTGAGATCTATCCTCAGATGCCTATACAAGCAAAAGAACACAAGCATAAACACACACACACAGACACAAAAAGAAAACAGAAAACCATTGCTATATTGCTATATAAGCAAAAGAGTACAATCATAAACACACAAAAAAGAAAACCTAAACTGTACAAAATGGAAAACAGACGGCCACAGATTGAAATAACTACTTGCACAAAGAACTAAAGTAATACCCTTCCCTTTAGAGAAAAAGGTAGCCTTTGACTCTCTAAGCCAAATGAACCAACATCTGAATTTTAAATTGGTGTGCATTCTATTAGATTTATTCATGTTTTTAGTGATCATATTAACCTTTGTTACAATCACTATATTTATCGCTGTCTTGTTGCCTTTTAAGTAGAAACTGATATCCTAAAACAAACTTTTGTCTGTTAAACAGTCTAAGGAATGATTTCAAATTTGATAAGAATGGTTATTAATGATTAATGAATAATAATATCTTATTATATCAACTTTAACAATAAAAAACTAGGGGCAAATCACATCCATGTCGCTTATATATGTTGAAAAATTACTGGCATCAGAATTCGAAAATCAGAACTTGACCCTTCTCTTTTTTGATGGATGCAGGTAACATGAATTTTATTGCAAATTCCTAACTGTATGCATCAAAATAAAGATTTCAAAGAAGTATTCATTCAACATCCATGTCAAATTGGAGCCAAAGGTGTACTAAACTTTTGCTATTGACTTTGCAACAAAATTCATGAAAGTTCAGAACCAAAAATGGCAGTTTTGACTAACCTGAGCAATAATGCCGGTTGGGAGATGCTTAAGACGGACCGCAGTCTCACGCTTATTACGGTGCTGACCACCGGGACCGGAGGATTTATAAGTATCCATCTCACATTGACTCATCAGTTTCTCGTCAGACATCGCCACGAATTCTCTTCCTCCATCATTATTAGAACTCGAAATCGGAGAAATCTTATCGACGCTGGTAGTGTAATGGAACGACGATGTCCGATTTGGCGAAAACGATGTGATATTATCACTCCTGATGATCGGAAAGCGAATTTGAAAACGTCGGAGACGTATCGGAGCGGCCGTCGACGGCGCCGTCGTCTTTGGCCAGAATTTGACACACGATTTCACAAGGTAAAGAGCCATGTAAAGTGATCGCCGAGGTCACTGGATTAGAAACGATTGGAGTGAAGCAACTAAACAAGGGCAGTGACGACACGCTTCACAAGTTTGTACCCTATGCATAAATATTTGTACATTTTTTATTTCAAATCCAATAAGAAAATTACGATTTTTTTTTATTAACTTGGATATTCAACTCGCTATACGAGCCGACTAATCCCAGGATGACCTCCAGCTTTGCAGATAGCCCGGAGTGACCGTATTTGAACCTCCGTGGCCACAAGAGATTTTTATTCCTCATTGGATTTGAACATGAGACCTCGAAAATTACGATTTTAGTTTATGTGGTTTGTTAAAAATTTTAATTATTGCTCATGTGGTATAGAAATTGCGATATTTATCTCAGTATTTTGTAATTTAGGTCAAATTGCATGAAAAATTAACGTACTTTAACTTGATTTTTATTTTGAGTAACGTATTTTCAAAACTTTTATTTTTGTAAAACCTCGAAAGTTTATGATAGAAATTCTAAATTGAATCGAAAATATCGAACCGGTGCTGGTAAGGTTTTCATCAAAGTAGTAGTGTTCATAGGAGTCATGGGGTCTTTAGGGGTAAGGACGGACCCAGAATTTTTTTCAAATAATGGCATCATTTGACTATAGGAGAAAATATAGAAAAAAAAATTAGTTTGACTATAAGAAACAAATATACGGAATTTTTTTCAAACAATGGCACTATTTGACTAAGAAAATGACACTAACATGATTCAAACTTGGGTCTGAGGTGGAATAAAAGTCTTGCAAACCAATTCCACCAAATAAAACTTGTTCTCATTGTAGTTTGAAAATACATACGGTGACACATAACAAATTAATATGGTTACACATTTCACGAACCTAAATTTTTTTACCCTTCGACGGAGAAATAATATGGTGGCACATGCCACCGTATGCACCACTATAGGTCTGTCCCTGCAATGGGGTGTTGGTTCATCGCACTGATGGACATGAAAATATGAAATGGATATATCTATATATCTCCTACTCGAATTCATGAGATGATAAAAATATGACAAAAGTTATATAAGAAAAGGTTCATGTGGACGTATTGGTTCATGTAAGATACCAAAAGGGGTCATTCATATTCAAGCAGGTTTCGATAATACCCATGTGACTATGAGGACGAGTGATTTCTTGGTCCTATGCAGGTACTTGTGGCTTCCGAGGTACAATATCACCATATCGTCTAACGTTTACTCCACCAATCTCTTCCTAGTCGTCGGTCTCGAGAACCAACACCCCAAATCTATAAACATCGCATTTCTGTGTGGTGTTCGTTGATTTGCGAGCGAATTCTAGACTCGTGTACCAAAACTCGTAATCCCATCTCCGGCGTGGTCTTCATCTTGAATGCTACTTTAAAGCCTTAGACACACTAATTCACTTTTAGTTTCTTTCTCAATCTCGTAAATTTTTAATTGATCGAGTAAATTAACGGATGGAGTTCATCTTGTCGAATGAGATATAGTGATTTAGATTTGATTTAAAATTTTTGATTTGGATTTGAGGTTTAAATAGATAATGATATAGAATTAAATCCATAACTTTTAACACATCGCAGGAATCAAATCCATAATTTACTCTAATAAGTATAAGAGGTTTTTTATTTACCTCGTAATAGTTCCATTAAGAAACAGCCTCTGAATCGTTAAGAGTTGAATCTTGTTTGGCAAAAGAAAGTCTGTCTCTTGATGATTCTAAAATCTTCTGAATGATTTTGTATCTTGAGTCTACCTTAACCATTCAGCGCCCTAATTTCATTGTAAACAATTACCGAACAATTATATTTCATTTTGTACTATATCATGAGAGCATCTTAAATCATTCTGACCACTTAATCATTTACACCAAACTATTCAGCAACTACCAAACAACCCATAATTCTCAAACCAACTAACCAGACCAATTTAGGGGAGTTCACCAAATGTTTATTAGATTAGTACTTATTGGATATCACTTACCTTATATACAATAAGGACCGAGAATCATATCAGATAAATGAGGAAAACTCTTACCAACTAACATTTTTTGATTAAGAGACGCTTACCAACAATCTATCTTGATGACCGAGAAAGTTACCCAATAAGATAAGTAAAAGCGAGCATTTGACAAACAACCCTTTATCATACCCCAACAACAATTATGTTTCCTAAACAAAAATAAACTTGGATATTACTTTCAGTAAGGGGCTGTTTGACAATTATTGAATGGTTTGGTACAGAATGATTAAGAGACTCTCATGATATAGTGTAAAATGAAATATAATTGTTTAGTAATTGTGTACAATAAAATTAGGGCTCTTAATGGTTAATGGAGATCCAAGATACAAAATCATTCAGAGGGTTTTAGAACCATTAAAAGACAGACTTATTTTTTGTCAAACAACATTCACCTCTTAACGATTCAAAGGTTGCCTCTTAATGGATTTATTAAGTAATTTGGTTTTATTCCCTCTCCCTTTTAAGCAATAAATGTTGTTTTCAAAAGAACAAACACAAAGGGTGGGGACTAAAGGGAACACCCAAAAAGTGAGAATCATATCATCATGTACTTTAACTAACATCATGTAGTCCCCATTAAACTATCCCATGGAAAAGGGGAGGAGTTTCCACAAGAAGACAGAAAAAGGCATAAAATTTGGAGAAAAAAAAGATGCATATAGTTACACTTTGCCACACCATGATTATAACAACAAACGAGATATCGGAACTCTGTAGCATTACACCTAACAAGTAAGGAGATGGACATCCTTGTAGACCAGATACAACAGATATAGACTAACCCCACAAAAAAACAGACTTCAGCGATCACCCATACATGATTAACATGATTAGTCATTGAAGCCAAGGGCAGGGCAGGTCGTATGAACACTTGATGACGTAATATGAACAATCACTCTTCTATGTCTAGCGATTGCCGTTTCTCTTTGTCATAGTTGTTCATGTTCATCCATCGGAAAATATACTTGTGAAGTTTTGATTCTCATTCAAACACATTATGGGTACAACATTGCAAGCGGAACTCGTGACCAAAATGCCAGACTGATGTGCATATTTACAGCTTCGTCATCAGGTGCTGCCAGCAACCTCGGCAGCACGTTGCCTCATCATCTCCATAACAGCGGCCCTACGACGGCTGTCAGACTGTTGTTGCAGCCTTCTCAAATGTTCGTTTAGATCTCTGTATCAAGAAAAGAAGCAAATTTACAATGAAGGGAAATCCCACATATTGCATCAGCATACCAAAACAAAACAAACCAACGAGCCCAATATATCCCATCTAGAGACTTGGCATCATGAGACCAGACTATTTTCGTAAGACACCACCTAAGTAACACTGAAACTTCACAATAAAACATTGTGAAGGTACACCTTCACAGCAAAAATGTATACCTTTACAGTGTTTTGCTGTGAATTTCCAGTTTTATTTTATGGTCTCACGGTTTTCACGAAAAAAGGCCGGGCTCACGTGAACCCAACCTCATCCAGAGGTAGGGTCCTCGGGGATGTAGGCAGACCTCTACCCCTGATTCATAAAGTTCTCCAAAATGGAGAATCAAAAGTTAATATCTCCAAAAAGAAATTACATTCAACTCCAACAGTTTCTCCATTGTGAAGATTTCAACATTAATTATAGAGTAAATTACGATTTTCGTCCCTGCAGTTTGTTAATAATTTCAAGTTTCATCCCTGTGGTTTAGAAATTGCGATCTTCATCCCTAAGGTTTGCAATTTATTGCTTTTTTCGTCCTTGGACTAATTCCTACCCTTAAATACAAGGGACCAAAACAGTAAAGAATTGTAAACCACAAGGAGCAAAACAACAATAAATTGTAAACCATAAGGACGAAAATAGCAATGAATTATAAACTATATGGACGAAATCCAACAATTTCTAAACCACAGGGATGAATATCATAACTTTCAACAAACCACATGGCCTAAAACGTAATTTACTCTTAATTATATTATTAAAATATTCAATAGATTAAGTATCCCCATAAACTTTCTATAGAATGATAATACATCCAACTTTATATGTGGGAACAATACAAAAAACATTTCTCTCTTCGGAAATTTTTATTCTCTCTCCTATTTTCTACATTTTAAAGAAAATTTTGGAGGATCTATTGGAGCAAAATAATTGATTTACAACTCCAAAATTTCCATTTTCTCCATTTTTGAGAATCCGTTGGAGATCATGGCTCGCTTTCATCTTTGAATTTTGGGTTGGTTAACTATCATCCGTTTTGCCTATTTTAAGTTTCATTATCTTGCAAGAAAAAAAAATGCAGTGTAGGTGAAATACACAGAAGGTTATATAAACGAAAAACGGATGCCTGGAAAAGAATAAAAACATGCAAGGAAAGAAGCAGATGAGCAAACCTGCATCGTGGCACGTGACATTTAGATTCTTTACAAGCTCGAGCATGAAGTTGAAGGAGATACCACATTTTCTTGCAAAGAACACAACCACCAGAAGCACGTACTTTGCAATTAATCCCGTGCCGGAAAAGTCCCTTCACCTTGCGACAGTTTGGATACTGACAAAGTGGAGACCGACACTGAGATGCATGCACCAGGAGATCAAGCATTTTCCTAAGCTGCAATTTCAAATATCAACTATGTTATCAACTCGTAAACATGCATAAAGGTAAAATAATTTTCAGATGATTTTACAGGCTTTCATTCTTAGACCCTTTTGGGTGTGTTTGGTAGGCAGACAGGACAGGACTGGACTGGCAAGAGTCAGTTAGGCAGGTTAAAGAATTATGGAAGGTTTTAGGGATCTAATTTGACATGGGTAGTTTGGTAATTTACCAAAATTTTGTCCCATCTTCCCAATTTTTGTTCCACCAATTTGATGGGACAAAAAAGGGAAATTGACCAAAATAGCCAATCTTTTCAACCAAATTCACTTTTTAGCCATTTTTGGAACCAAATTCCTATTTAGCCAGAATTTACGCACATGTCTTGCGCATTTGCGTAAAGCCTATTTCCAGATTAACAAAAAAAGAAAAAAAAAACATTCTTTATGCAAACGGGCATCCTTACGCAACTTTTTTTCTTTTTTCTAAAACTGAAAATAGGCTTTACATGGGAATTCCGTTAGAAAGTGGCTAAAAACTGAAGTTGGTTGCGGAGATTGGCTATTTTGGTCAATTCTCACCAAAAAAATTATTGTCCCACTCAAGTCCCTGTCTGTCCCAGTCAAAATGTCACGCCAAACATGGATAACACGTTTTTGTTTTGTCCTTCCCCGCATACCAAACACGCAGTGTAATCATTAAAAATCTGACCTAGAGGCATCTTTGAGGTAATTGTAGATCAGGGAAAAAACTGAAATTTATCAAGCATACCTGTAAAACACGCAGTTGGCGCGCTTCTTTATTTTGTGCATCACGCTCAGCAATCGACGGATGATTTGTCAACTTATGAGGATGATCGATTCCTCCATCCTTGTAATAGCAGGAATTGCACACATCATAATCGGGGCAAACCTCACAGCGCCAACCTTGCCCGGTTTCTATATCAAGGTGACATCTATTGCATGTTGTCACAAATGCGGGGGCGGTGGGATTGTGAAGATGATACAACACCATCATGGAGGAATGCTTAGCCCGACGAAGGGTGTCGTATTGATAATGATTTCCTTGGCAAAGACTCAGAAAAGCCTGTCTGGTATCAAAAAACTCGCTCTCTAGAATATCATCTTTATCTTTGGTATCTGTAGGGATATCATTGATCTCGATCTGCAAAGTTGATCATTTTACAATCTTAACCAAGAACAATATAAAATAAAAACATACTAAAACCAAATCAAACGAACCCACTAGTCCCATATGGGGTAGGGTCTGAAGAGGGTAGGATGCAGGCAGACCTTACCTCCACCCTGAGGAATAGAGAGGTTGTTTGTGTGAGGAACCCTGGATTGTAAAAGGGTTTTGTGAAGAAAAAAAATTTGTTCGGGAAGTTTGACAAAATTTAGGAAGGAAAGAGATAAAAATAAATAAAAAGAAAAAAATGTTCAGAACTTAGGGTTTGTTTGTTAGCAGCTTAATGAGCTTAAAGGGACTCGCAACTTATTTGGTCAGCTATACATGACTGTTTGGTAGTGGCTTAATGATATAGAAAGTGGCTTATTCAGTAAGATTCAAGGGAAGCTTTATGCAGAAAGCCAAGTTTTTTTTTCCAAACTTGCCCCTCCCAATCAAAAAACACGCTCATTCCATATGTGAAAGAACTCTTTCAAACAAAAACCCTCTCAATCTATATAGACAGATTTACCTACACGAACAGCTTTATCCATACAGCACTTGTAAGAAAAACAACCAAACATCCCCTTAGAAGAGCTTAAGGAGGTTGCACTTACAGGATATAGTGGATGTTTCTCCCTATGATTAATAGGATGTCTCTCCCTCTCCTCAAGCTTTTGTTCGATTTCATGACACCTGCAAGACTCATTCACAACCATTAGCATTCAATTTATAAATAAAACCGAAAGGGTATAAATGTGCATAGGTAAAATGTTAGAAACACAGCTTCGATATGCACTTTTGAAGACATCATGAAGGGTGCAATGAGATTTAATCCAACAGCTAGGACTTATCAGGTCAACTGTCGATCCAAGATTGTCCAATTTGTTAGCAGCTTAATGAGACTCAGCTCCGTCAACTATACATGACAGTTTGGTAGTGACTTAATGATATAAAAAGTGGTTTATTCAGTAAGCTTTTAGGGGAGAACTTTATGCAGAAATCCAAGTTTTTTTTCAAACCTGCCCCTCCTAATTAAAAAACACGCTCCTTCCATCTCAATCTATATAGACAGATTAATCCACATAGACAGCTTTATCCATACAGGACTTAATGGAAAACCAACCAAACAGCCCCTAATTGTGTAACTAAATTGTAAAAGGTATCATCGTGTAGAGAAAAATCAAACAAACTTCATAAGTTCATAGATTCATAGCTCCTAATGATATATAGTAATGGACCTAACAATTAGACTCCCCTTAGGTCTCTTTTGACCCAGGTAAGGGGCATGTTTCACTTTCATCTTTATCATTAGGACCAAAATGTTTTAATGTTATATATATAGGGTCAGGTTCAAGGGAAAACCGTAAAAAAATGAAAAGTTGAGAAACACCCTAGTAAGCATTCATTAGGTCGGTATGCACATGTGCATACAAGTAATTTGTAAGCAATTTGTTCGGCATGCACATGTGCATTGCGCACAGGCATAAAAAACAAGAAACAACTTGAATTAATTGTATGCACATGTGCATACTGTCCACATGAATGATTACCAACGTGTTCCTCAATTTTTCATTTTTTTTGGGGTTTTCCCCTGTACCTCCCTCTATATATATATATATATATATATATATAATCTCATACAAAGTTTAACAATTAGACTCCCCTACAGTTACATGACTCCATTCTTGCAAATAGAAGGAACGACAAACCTACCAGGAAAGAGATCATAGAGCTTACCTATCACAAAGCTGAAAATTATTGCACTGATTGCAAACCCAACGCGTTCCAGATACCATTAAAAGACAGCAATGAGTGCATGCAGGTTGCAGGTGAACCATAATGAAATCTTCCTTCATTGGAGAAATCGTTTCACCAAGCTGTAAAAAGGAGAGATTTCCACAGTAAAACAAAAATGTGTAAGAAAAAGAAAAGGAATGCACAAAGACAATAAATTCCAAAAGGTGGTCAAAAATATGGATGAGGGTTGGGAAGGAGATGACGGTATTGTAGGAGAGAATTAATTACCTTATGCATCAGTAGAAGATCTTTGGATGCATTCCCAGAAAGATCGGTTTGACCAGAGGCTTTCAGAGCTCTTTTCGTTATTGTCTTCTTAATTGACCCTTTTTTGTTTTGTTTTCTTCCCTCCTCTTCTTGACGAATCTGATAAATTATATCCTCAGCAGCACCTGGCCAATAGTCACCATCGAAATATGGCAATCGAGCTGCAGTTACCTTAGCTTTACACTCACCAGATGATATAAAGAAATGGTCATATAGATTAGTAAGCTCAGCTACAATATTTTCCTTTGTAGCCTTTCTTAACATCGCCAAATACCTGAGACGGGACAGTTCATAACCCAAAAATGCATCAGAAAAATACAGCACTTAATATTTCAAAAATGAAGCAACGATCTTCTTACACCCGACTTACCATTCCCTTAATTTATCGGACTTCGGTGTCTTCTGAATTTCAGGATGGCAATACAAGATATAGTCTTCACCCTTTAACGGAGGGCAGGCCCATATATAGCAACTTGTGAAACCACGTAATTTGCAGTATTCTAGGTAACCAATCTGAAGAAAGAATAAGAACTACTGGGGTCAATAATATTGACATTGGTATACAACGGCAACCAAAAGAAACTAGTAAACAAGATTGAATTTTGAAGAAGAAATGAAGCTAAAACACTTGCCAGAATTTCATGATACACAAACGTACGGAGCGCCTCCCCTGTCACAGCTTTAATCTCAGGCCTGAAGTACTTAACGGAATCCAAATAAGAGAGATAAACACGGCGATGATTTGGTTGTTGACATTCTGTTCCAAATTCTTGGACATACATGCCAAACAGACATACTTCTACTCCTTCAATTTTCTGGAACAACAAAACTACCTAAAAGAAGAGATGGTTTAGGAACTGGTCATGGTAGAAGAACAAAATGATGGTTTATGGTTGACAATATCAATCTGTTCCAAATACCTTCGATTTATACCCAAATTCCTTTGGATAATTTTCCTCTTGAAATATTTCTAGAAATCTCTGCTTGACCTCCAATTTTTTGTCCACAGATGAGACAACTCTGACAACAAGTGATTCTGCTCCAGGAACCTGATAAAACCCAAACATGTAGCACCAATCAAGCAACTAAATATATTTAAGGAAAAGCAAATGGACCAAATAGAACCATACATACTCAAATGGCACTTATTACCAACTGTAAGGTTGAATTAAATTGTAATAGTGGCAAAAAAAAAAAATTAACAGTGGCAAAAAAATAAATTAAAGAGAAAGAAAGCTGTTCCGAACAGAGGAAAAACCCTCCGGCTTCCAGTCTGCTAAGGACAGCTGGCTTTGAGTTCGGACTTCCTTCTTTCTATGACCAGATCAGGAGCTGCATGATCCACAGGAGAGGAAGGAAGAAAGGCGAGGTTCGACCGTAACTTAAACAGTGGCAGCCAAAAACACAGATTCATTCGCCATTCATGTACTTGCACAATCCCCGCCAAATATGCCAAAATCTTTAGTGTAAAGGAAAACATAACAATGCACCAAAGAAATTTTGCCATAGAAACATTTCAGGTAACCTTTATGTGAGTAATCACTAGTGCTTAAGGAAGTGGCTTATACACATATGTGTTAAGCGTTTAGGGTTATTGTAAATGGGGGTCAGATTCGGGGGGAAAACCGCAAAAAATGAAAAATTGAGGAATACTCTAGTAACCATTCATCTAGACGATATGCACATGTGCATACAAGTAATTTGTAAGCAATTTGTCTGGTATGCACATGTGCTTAACATGGCCCAGTATGCACATGTGCTTAACATGGACACGTGCAAAAAAACCAACAAACAGCTTCAATTACTTGTATGCACATGTGCATACTGTCCAGATGAATGGTTACCATGGTGTTCCTCCGTTTTTTTTTTTTTTTTGGGGGGGGGGTTCCACTAAACCTCCTTCTTGTAAATGGACCTACATAGAGCTTGTGTGTGGGTAGTCTTCCTTCTCGAACACTTCATTTTTTGAGATACCACACACACATGCACACATGTGTAGATACATATGTGTGCACACAGCTATTGAAATTGCATGCATCAATATATTTTTAATATTTTAGTGATCATATCTCATCAGAGTGACAAAAGCTAGATCACAATCTTTTCATCACACGGTTGCTATCATGATATCTCAAGACAAACTGCAGTACTTCCTCCAGTAGGAGAAAAATAACCAAGACGCACATTTGGTCATGCTGTCTAACATGCCCACACTTTGACCATATGACCATGACTTTGCAAACTGAAACTTGGATCATCACCATCTACACAAATCTAATTAGTGGAAAGATTAAAAGATCACCTCATCATAACTTTTCCCATGGAACCTAGCCCTCTCCATTCTTTCTTGTTTCAGTCTCTTAAACAAGCGATTCTCTATGTGATCACTGAGTATTGTGCGAGGCAAATCTTTCGCACCAAGAACAGCACTCTGTGGTAGGGGAGTTCTTTCTCCTCTTTCCACTTCTTCTATGTAACAATTTGGACAAGTGTACTCTGCTTGTCCTCCATCATTTCTTCGACCATTAAATAACGCACAGATTTGGTGTTGCCAAGCTTCACACTTGTCACATTGAACCCACTGTAAGAAAAAAACGAAAGGAGTAAATACTAACTATAATCATCATGCAAAAACTAATACAAATATGCATACCCATTCTTCAGTTTCCTCATCGTTTTTCTTTTTCTCCATTCTTGCCTTCAAAATATTAGTTCCATCAACATTGATTGTGTCTCCGCGGACCTCATTATAGCAGGGAATACAGAAGTAATGGCGTGTATCACCGGTCCCAATGGTGTAGAACATTGCATTTCTCTTAATGCGAGCACCACAAGGTGTGCAATATATAGGTGGCGGTTCAAAAGTGAGCTTTTCGACCGCACATAGCTGACAAGAGTTCTCACTCATTGAGTTCTCCATAGCTTGATTCTTTTCTGCCTTTGCTTTGCTCTGCACAAAAATAAAATAATAGATATTAACAAAGGAAATGAAATTTTAGAACACATAAGCATAAGTGGTAACTCAAAAGAAAAATATAGTGCCCATGCATGAAATGAATACACACAAAACCACTGTTATCTTCTATCTTTTTCCCTCAAAAATTTCTGATGTTCACAAATCACAGTGATATGTATGCCACTTGCAATGCTATTGTGTGATTTCTATCTTACATATTACGTTCTGATGCAAAGTTTTTAGGGCGCGTTTGGTATCTAGACAGGCAGGATAAAAACAGTTGTTCAACGTTTGGTAAGACAAAACTAGACAGGACATAACAGATAAAATGACCAATTTACCCTTAATGATTTGTTATATCGTTTATATATTTTGATTAATTTATGTAACTTATTAAATTATAATAAAATAAAGATTTTTAAAACAAAATATATCATTAGAATCAAGACGATTAAAATGACACCAAAATAAAAAGTTTATGTAGTTTACAATTTTTATTTTATACATTTTCAATGTTATATATTATTTTTAATATTTAATAAATTACATAAATTACCTAAAATATAGAAACCATATCAAAATAATATTTCGAGGATAGAAAAGTGAAAGTTTAAAGAGCATAAAATACAATAAATAAAATTTAAAGAATGAATAAAATGTAAAGAGGGAGGCGTATTTGATGTTTTAGAAGAGACTTGGGTTATATTGGTAAAATATAGGATTGTTCCACCTTGTTCCATGGGGTGGGGTGGAACACGCCTGTTCCACTTTGGTCCTGTCTATTCCACATAAAAGTCCTACCAAAAATGGAACAGTGATCCCCGGTCTGTTTTGTCCTGTCTGAACCAAACATACCCTAATAGATATAGCTGGAAAATGCAACAACATGGTGCCAAGAGAGTGATCATGTACTGAAGACTTCCCTAAAGGTTCTAGAAGAAACTCAAGTATACAAGATATCTGACCTGGCCTACCCACTGTCTGAGACCGGTGATATGCTCCCGAACCTGCTCTGGCGTAAACAATTCTGTCATCGAGACTCCCTTAATTTTTGGCTTACCAGACTTGGTTCCGGCAGAAGTTTCAGCAGGCGGTGCAGCACTTTCCTGGACCACCTCTTTCTCAGTCTTAACAAACTCCTTACCGAAACCAACAGCCTTATTTGACACAATTGAAACGCTTTCAGACTTTTGGATGCAGGAGTCTTCAATACAATCCTTCTTCACCTCACTTATCTTGGGGAATCCTTGCACAGAACTCACGGGAACGTCTGTCTTTACTCCGGTGAGTTCAGACTTTATTGGAACACAAACGTCACCAACTTGAGGTTCTTCATCCCGTGCATCCTGAAGAACTTCTAAGGCACTAGTGATGGGAACTTGTATGCCAGAGTTTTCATTTTCGGTAGCTAGTGATTGTGATTGCTGCTCAATCTTCATCCGTTTCATGGATGGATGTAAATCTTCTGACGTTTCAGCCACAGATGGACTAGTCTTCATAATATATCTGCCAGCAGCATCACTTCGATATTCAGAGGATTCTTTGCATGTGCGCGGAAGGCCAGAATTAGAATGTGTACGAGGACCACCTTTCAGTTGCATAAACTGTTTTACAGGGACACAAACTGGACAACTTGAATCCCTACAAGTCTTGTGATGAAGAAGTAAGTGTTTCGTCCCACGGCAACGAGGATACGGACATTGAACGACATCCTTGCATGATGTGATATGGTTCCACAACTTTTGAGCAGTTATGCAATTGGGTTCTGGGCATTTCCCAGGTGGATGAACACATTTACGAGCATGCCGCAGAAACAACAGCCACCTTTGTTGATTCCTGTACTGCAACTCACGGTTTGATTTAGCAGTTCTACTTATATCCCCAGAGTTTGGTGGGTCTACTGTTCTATTACCAGCAGTTTGATAGATAGTAGATCCTTCTGAAGATAGATTATTCCTCTGAGCTTGATCTTGCCCTGCTATTCTTTGATGAAATTCCTCTTGAACATTTGGATCGTAAGATATGTTACCCATTACATGAGATGATTCTTGAGATCTTGAATTCCATTGACCCTGCAGTACTGCCTCTGGTTGAACTCCTATTGAACAAGTAAGATCATTCTGAGAGTCCACAACAAATTGATGTTGTTGCATTAGTTGTTGCATCTGCTGGGAAGTTTCTGCGATTGGTAAGCACATATCCTGAGACGTCTGACTAGCTCTGCTATGGTTTTCTCCAGAGATCTGATGGAAGTTATTGTTTGTCCTAGATGACGGGAATTGTTCAGAGACTTGTGGCTGCAGAACTTCATTCTGAGACTCCATTCCGGTCTCAGATTTTATTCGACTGCCAGGATCAGATATCAGTTGAGACTGTCCATATGATAGACGCTGAGTCTGCTGACTCTGCTGGTTCTGTTGATGGTGATGCTGAAGAAGTTGTTGCTGGAAATGAAGAGGTTGCTGGGATTGCAAAGCATTATCGCGTGGTGAAGGCTGATACTGGAAATCCAACTTTTCCGATTGATCTAATGAAGGTTTCATGCTCACAGTTTGCTGACTATTGTGCAAGTTCGACTGATTTATCATCAATGGAGAGCTTGTTTTGTGTAATGCCTGCAAGCTTACTGGGTTCATGTTCTGATTATTCATCAATGATGAGCCGGAGGTTGTAGCACCATAGAAGTTCCCTGAGCCTGAAGAATCAATGGTACCACTTCCATATCCATCACCTGTGAAGTACAAGCACTCTATACACATAAGAACAGACACTTTGGTGCATCTAAGGTGAAACCCACATCTAATATGTATAGGATTAACATATAAGGGTCCGATTCAAGGGAAAACCGCAAAAAAAAATGAATAATTGAGGAACACCCTGGTAACCATTCATCTGGAAGGTATGCACATGTGCATACAAGTATTGTAAGCAGTTTGTCCGGTATGCACATGTGCATAACATGCATACGTGCATAAAAACCAAGAAACAACTTCAATTACTTGTATGCACATGTGCATATCATATAGATGAATGGTTACCAGGGTGTTTCTCAGTTTTTCATTTTTTGGGCGTTTTCCCCTTAAGCTCCCTCTTAACATATAAACAATATAAAAAGGTAAAGGAACACAGAAACACATCTATATATCCATAATATAGAAAGTGAATACCATGTGACATCTGTCGCTGATGTGGATCAAAATGTTGTGGCAATGGTTTGGGGGAGTTTCCATATTGAGAAGCTGTCAGGTATCCCTCAGAGGTTCCCGAACCATTCATCATCTGTAAATTGTTATTCATCATCCCTACACCACTGTTTAGTGATCCATTTGGAAACCCATAAGCTTTCTGATGCAAACTAGACCTGATTCCCCCACCACCCATATGACTACCAAGGCTATGCAAGATGCGACTATTTTGGCCACCTACTTGCTGCTTCTGTTGCAGTGGCTGAGACACTATTGCAGAGTCCACGCTCGAAAGCCCAACAACATTATTAGATGAATCCACATTCATGTAAGACTGGTTACTTGTGCTATTGCCATTATTGTTATTATTATTATTATTAAATCCAGGAGTAGGTATCATTTGGCTGGCCATTCTTTGTGCACCCATTGATGAAATCAAGCTGTTCCCACCTGAACTTATGGCGAAATTGGACGCTGACTGCTGATATCCATTAGTCAAACCTCCTGCAAAAGTGAATCCATTTATATTGTCGTGAAGTAAACTAGAGAAGTAAATAACAGGGGCGGACCTACTAAGAGAGTAGGAGGTGCACACAGCACCTGCTCAATCATTCCGTCGTAATGGTCATGGCGCTACCTTTTATTCTTGAGGTCATGGGTTTCATTCTTGTTTGCAACAAAATTTTGGTTTTTCATGTTTTAAAAAGTAATTGAACTCAAGACCTCAACCATAGAGTGGCAAAGATTTACAAATAAACTACTACTCCTTTTGATTTACAATTGTTGGCATTTTTCTTTTATTTCTTCTTTTTCAGAATCTTTTTCCTTTTAATTTACCCATTAATCATAAAGTTGTTTTTTGTCTTGTTTTAAAGAAAACAGATGTTTATCTTAAATAGAATTGAAAAAGAAATAATATTAATCACATTTAATAATTAATATTTGAAAATCTTGATTTGATAATACTTGAAAATCGGTTATTATTCCTCTGTATATGATGTCATCAAACATGCTTATATAAAAAATTTATAAAATTATATTTTGTTGTTGAGCTGCCCATTACGAAATAAACCAAAAAAAATCCCCATAAAGGTCGAATTCGGCATAAAAACAAGCCGGGCGTAAGACGTAGTCTTGCGTTTTACTCAAAAAGTCAAGGTCGATTCCATTTGAAAGAATGTATTGGATCAAATCGACATAATTAAATTTTCCCCGAGTCAAACCGTGTTGACCTTTCCCTAGGTTAAACCACGACTTTGCAAACCTTCGATCGATTTTAAAGGTGCACACAAAAAATTCTGGGTCCGACACTGTTCGATAATATAAAAAAAAACTTGATATATATTAAGGGATATATATACCGTCAGCTGAGCTGAAAGAACCGCTGTGCATCCCACCAGAAAGCCCAGTAGTATTAGGAATGAAGTTTCCAGTGTTGACGGCTGAGACCATGTTACTACCACTGTTTGCTGGAAATGAATGATCCACAGATGATGGAGCAGTTAAGCTTGAACTCCCACTTTGAGATACACCAGGAGTTGGAATCATTGTTCCCATACCAACAGAGGTATTACCTTGTTGCTGATATTGTTGATTGTGATTATTCAATGGGAGACGTTTGATCAGAACGTGCAAACGAGTTTCCAATGTCTCCAAGTTCATATACTCCTCCTAACAAAAAAATAAAAACAATTTATACTTAGATATAAAAGACTAAAAGGTTCAGAGAAATAACAACACTAAGGGCCTGCTAGTTAGCCTCTTTTAGGGGCCGTTTACTACACTTACCGGGTAAGCGCTTACTGATATCACTTCCCTTACCGATTGAGCATGAAAAGGACCAAGAATCTTACCCGGTAAGAGGCATAGCAAGAACCGAGAGTCTTACCCGGTAAGTGAAGGAAAAGACTCTTACCTGGTAAGCGCTTAACGGGTTTAAGATGCTTACCAACAATCCATTTTTATGGTCGAGGATATTACACGATAAGGTAAGTTAGTGCGATGTCTCATGCTTGTAAGCGCTTACCGGGTAAGCTTTTGGTAAACGGCCACTTAATTAGCTTAATGGGTCTTGCAACTTATTGGTCAGTAATACATGATTGTTTGGAAGTGACTTAATGATATAAAAGCTTATTCAGTAAGCTTCTACGGGGGGAGCTTTATGCAGAAAGCCAATTTTTTTTACAAGCCTGCCCCTCCCAATTAAAAAACACGCTCCTTCCATTTATGATAAAACCCTCCAGAACAAAAACCTTCCCGATCTATACATACAAATTTATTCAAATAGACAACTTTATCCATACAGGTCTTAGTGGACTACCAACCATAGCCCCTACACTGTGTATTAGCACCATTAGCCAACCAATCTAAATGCAAAAGGTGGTTGGGAATCGGGTGGACTCATCCTCTTGAAACTCTCAATCTAACAATACGCTAGACAAGACTCCATGGAGTAACATAATCTTCGCAACTCAAGGTACATAACTTATATTTATACGACTTAGACAGCCAATATATTGGTGTTTAAGAAAATAGGAACAAACCTTCGAGGTAGCAGTTTTAAACAGGCCTTCCTCTAATCGTTTAACAATATCCAACACTTTCTTCGGAGCTATCTCTTGAGTTTGTTGCCGCTGCATGAGAAAATCATAGCTGGAGAAAGGAGATCGATTATTTTGTCAGGGTCAAAACCATATAAATTATCCATGGTATAAAATACATTTATGAAGCACATATCCAAGAATTTGTCAGAACCGTCTATGATAGAATTGTGAGAAAATGATGAATAGTTCACACGAATAGGAAAGGTGAACAGTGATAACACTTGCAACTGTAAATCAGAGAAATTTAGTGACAACAATACAGATGATATTAGCCAAAATCATCAAAATATATCGAGGAAGCCCATATGCAAGATGATGTAAAATGATCATATCTATGAGGAGGCAAGATGGATAAGAAAATAAGCAAAATTGCATATACCCAAAAGAGCCACATTGAAATTATCTATGGAGCTTGAAGGTCTTAGAGGATATTAAACCAGGACCAAAGGCCTGTTGTTAGCAGCTTAATGAGCTTAATGAGACTCGCAGCTTATTTGGTCAACTATATATGACTGTTTGGTAATGGCTTAATGATATAGAAAGCGGCTTATTCAATAAGCTTCTAGGGGGAGCTTTATGCAGAAAGCCAAGGTTTTTTCAAACCTCCCTTCCCAATTAAAAAAAACGCTCCTTCCTTCTATGAAAAAACCTCCCAAACAAAAAACCTTCTCAATCTATACATTAATCCACACAGACAATTTTATCTATATAGGACTTGATGGAAAACCAACCAATCAGCAATTCAATTTTTGGCTGAAGAACAACTCGCAAGAGAAATTACATAGATCAACATAAATCTATAAAATCCAGATAGATTGTGCAACTAAAAACTTATTCAAGATCTTCACACTTTCCCTTGTTTATAAAAAATAAATGTAAATTGCTATGTAAGTTAATAACGGGAGATATGGAAAAACTCGACTTTTCGGCTCCAAAGGAAAAAATAGAAGACCGGAACTGAAATTAAGCACTCCAAATGCAAAAAAAGTGTGAATACGAAATCAAAAAACAAAACAATAACAAGACCACGATATAAACAGATCAAAAACATAAATCTCAAAATCGAAACACCGAGAGTAATATGAAACCCTAAAATTGTACCATATTAACTTGAAACCTTAAAATTGTACAATAGCCCTAAAATCATAAACAGAATACCTTAAGATCTTATAAGCCCAAAACTTGAAGCAATTGAAACCCACAAATCCAAGATTGAGGTACCAAAAACATAAAATCTGAAAGAATACATACCTAAAATCGAAATTTCATGAAACTCAAAAATTGAAACAACTCTAAAGATCGACTGAAACGATCGAAAAGAACACAAACAAAGTTTTACCTTTTGTGAACAACAGTGGAGCTAAAAACTGCAAAGATAGGCTCTGATGGAAGATATGGGGGAGCAGAGAGAGATCGAGAGTGATATGGAAGAAGCGTGAGAATTACTATATGTGAACATAGTTAATATATAACCAAGGGAAAGGTGGGAGTTTCGGGAAACTTCTAACAGCTTTTGCTATAAAAAGTGACCAAAATAGGATAAAAAGTAAGACTTGAGTTACCATTTTACAGATTTGCATGGATGGGTGCCAGCTTGTATATTTGGTGAAAGGTGAATTGCCATTTAAAAAAAATTCAGTCAAAAAAGTCAAGATTATTCCCAAATCCTAATTACACCATTTTTCTATAGAATGACTAAATTAGTAATCTCCAAGGCTTCTATACTTAATAGGGCAAAATAAAACAAAGTTTAGTTTAGTCCCTATGTAGTGTAACGCATAATTGTTTTCTCAATCGATGTAACACAGATTCAAAACTTCCTATTTTGTAGCCATTTTGACCGGTAACTTGTTGATCTTATAATCATTGGTGAAGTGGATACCCTTTTACGAAAAGGTTACAACGAAGGGGACGATAAACCACGTCGTCAATGTTACAAGATCAAGTTACCAGTCAAAATGGATACAGAATAGGAGACTTCGAAAATTTGTTAAATTGATCGAGAAAAAAAATCATTTGTTATACTGAATAGGAATTAAGGCAAACTTCATTACATTTTGATGCATTTGCACTAATTAAAACTAAAGCAATTACTGTACAACACAAGTATCATGAATGTAACCAAACCAAACACACATAGTGCGTCCCACATGAACAAGTATCACGAGGGTTCATAATCACATTTTCAATGTTCAATTCATGATATGGACAAATGTTATGTGCCAAGTAGAATGCAACCATGAGGTATGTAGGTCTAGTCATATGTAGATAGACACATACAAGTATATCATATTCAATATATATATATATATGGGGGTGTGTGTGTGTGGAAATATACATGTAGACAGAACTGTTTAAAAGCATGGACCACATCAAGTACAAGGATTTACCCCGGGATAGGGAGCGACAGGTGCATTTATTATACTTTATTCAAGCTTAATGCAAAAGGATTCAGACAAAGTGGAACTTGTTGGAAAATATATCATTATTTCCTAAAAGTAAAAGAGGATTCTTTCCTAATGGTATGCGTTTTAGTTAGGTAGGCAAATCGCTTATTTTTCCACAGATTTTCATGCTATGTAAAATAGGAAACTAGATGAAGGGATCTCCATGTAAATCTAGTCCTATATATATGGTACATTGCTGAATAATAATAAAAGAACATATAGAAGTATACAACTCTAAGGTTGTTTCATGGAATCAGAGCCAAGGGATTTCTACCAACAAAGTTACTTATGTTTGGTGTTCCACGAAACTAGATTCCCTCCAACCAACACAACACACAATAGCCTGTCATAGACCGCCTAGTAGTAGGATCCCCATTGTAGTCGGCATCTGTAAACCCTTCTATGACATGATGACCGTGATTTTGATAAAGAATACCAAGACCAGGAGCACCCTTTAGGTACTTCAGTATATGCCTAACAGCGTCCCAATGTGGAGTTCTCGGAGATGACATAAACTGACTTACTACACTCACTGGAAAAGCTATGTCAGGACGTGTAACCGTCAGGTAGTTTAGCTTTCCTATGATTCTTCCGTACTTTTCTGGATCCTCAAGTAGATCTCCGTCGTCTGCTTTCAATTTCATATTTGGAATCATAGGGGCCTCACAAGGTTTTTTTTTTTTTTTAAGGGTGTCCGGGCCAAAGCCCGACTAATCCCCGGCAAATTTGGAGGCTAAACATGGCCCCACTTAAATGTCGCCAAYACTCCCCTCCCAGGGCTCGAACTCGGGTTCATGACTATGCCATGCCCAAGCCTTTACCACTAGGCTGGAAGGTCTTTGACCCTCACAAGGTTTTGTTTCAATCATACCAGAGTCATTCAATATATCCAAACAATATTTCCGTTGAGACAAACATATCCCTTTTCGAGTACAAGATACTTCAATTCCCAAGAAGTATTTTAAAGGACCTAGGTCCTTTGTTTGAAACCGAGATGCAAGGAAATCTTTTAGCTTCTTGATCCCAGTCTCATCGCTCCCAGTAATTACAATGTCATCAACGTATACCACTAGTAGAATACATCCGAAAGATGACGAAGTAAAGAACACAAAATGATCATAAGAGCTCCTCCGTAAGCCAAACTCAGTCACTACGGCATTAAACCGTCCAAACCAAGCACGAGGGGATTGCTTTAAACCATACAATGATTTACACAGTTTACAGACTCTACCAGACTCCCCCTGAGCAACAAATCTAGGTGGTTGCTCCATATAGACTTCCTCACGTAAATCACCATGCAAGAAGGCATTTTTCACATCCAGTTGGTGTAGTACCCAGTCGTAAGTAGCGGCTAATGAAACAAACAGGCGGATGGAGGGTACCTTAGCCACAGGAGAAAATGTCTCGTGGTAGTCGACCCCATAAGTCTGAGCATATCCTTTGGCTACCAATCGGGATTTCAAACGAGCCACAGATCCATTTGGATTAACTTTCATAGTGAATACCCATTTACAGCCAATTTTGTCTGCAGGTAACTCTACCAAATCTCATGTATCATTATGATCGGGAGCATTCACCTCATCAATCATAGCATCCTGCCATCCAGGATGGGCCAAAGCTTCACCAACCGCTTTAGGAACAAATAAAGAATCAAGTGTTAAGATCAAAGAACGAGAACGTGAAGAAAGTTTATCATAGGAAACAACAGAAGAAACAGGGTAAGTACATGAGCGCTTACCTTTCCGAAGGGCAATGGGAACATCAAGATCAGGAACATGTGTATCGAAAGATGGTGGATCACTCGAAGCAAGAGGATCCTCATTAGGCGGATCTGCAGACGATGATGAAGATGGTGTTGGGTCGGGATCTGATGTAGGTCGTTGCCGCCTATTATATACATGAACTATCGGCGGTTTAGTAGGCTCTTGGGTCTGTGTCGAGTCGGATGTGGTAGTAGACTCGGGAACAGGTATGGTATCACTATCTCTTGGGTTGCAAGGAGTGGACATTGAAAAGAAGAGTATATTCTCATGGAATGTAACGTATCGTGATACGATGTGTCGATTAAGCATGGGGGAAAAACACTTATACCCTTTTTGAAGTCGAGAGTAACCAAGAAAGATACATTTCAGAGACTTTGGATCCAACTTAGTTATGTGAGGTCGGGTATCATGGACAAAACAGGAACTACCAAAGATCTTTGGGTCGACAGGAAACAATGATTTTGTAGGAAACAGAACTGAGAAAGGACTTTTACCATCCAAGGCGGTGGAAGGCATTCGGTTGATAAGAAAACAAGCAGTAGCAACCGCATCAGCTCAGAAGACTTTAGGAACAATCATGTGAAATAATAGAACCCGAGCCACCTCTAAGAGATGACGATTCTTTCATTCCGCAACCCCATTTTAGGCTGGTGTGTCAACACAGGAAGACTCATGAAGAATGCCATTTTGAATTAGATATGACTGAAATGTTTGGGACAAATATTCTTTTGCATTATCACTACGGAGAGTTTGAATGGAGACTTTAAACTGGGCTTTAATCTCAACATAGAGTGAATAAAAATGTGTGAATACCTCAGATCGATTTTTCATAAAGTAAAGCTAGGTAGTGCTAGAGTAATCATCAACAAACGTAACAAAATACTTAAACCCGAGTTTTGAAGTAACAGGAAATGGTCCCCAAACATCAGAATGGACTAACTCAAATGGGGATGAGGCCCGCTTATTATAGATTTTAGGACTTAAACGAATATGCTGATGTTTGGCAAACTGACAAGAGTCACACTGTAGAGAAGGTAAATAAAAAAACTCAGGACACAACTTCTTCAGATTCTGTAAAGATGGATGACCTAATCGACAATGAACTTCAAGTGGAGACGATGAGCTGGAACAAGTCAATGAGGAAGGTACTTGATGTTCAGATATGTAAAGGCCATCAATCTCCCGCCCTCTACCAATAATCCTCTTCGTCGACAGATCCTGAAAGACACAGAAATCAGGAAAGAATGAGACACAACAATTTAAAGCACGAGTAATTTTGCTGACTGATAACAAATTGAACAAGAAATTAGGTAGGCTCAATACGGAAGATAACGAAACAGACGGGGTAAGATCAATGGTGCCAGAACCAAGGACAGGTGTGGTAGACCCAACAGCAATTGTGACATGTGATGGGAATTTGTGTTTATTGAAATTAGAGAAGATGGTGGGATTACCTGTCATGTGATTCGGAGCACCTGAATCAATGACCCATTTGGAGGCAGAAGATAATAGGCATGTCCTAGAGTTACCTGTCTCAACAAATGCAGTAGTTGTAGCAGTGGAATTCTTGGTCCCAAAAAGTCGAGCATATTCTTTTGCGGGTATAATAATAGTACTATCTGAGGCAGAAGCAACGTGCGCTGATGAACTCCTCGGACGTCTAGCCAAAAGCTTCTTACATGTGCATTTGGTATGACCTAACTCATGGCAGTAGTAACGCTCAACATCATCAGAATATGGAATAGTAGCTCGTGAGTCGGTTGTTCGGTCACTGTGGCCACCTCTAGAGCCACCACGGTGACCCCCACGAAATCCTCCTAGGTAGCCACCACGAAATCCCCCTCAACCAACCAGAGCACTGTTGTGATCAGAAGTTTGAGAAGCCTGAAGATTCTCATTCCTAAGAACACGGGAAAATGGTTCTTAAAGAGAAGGAATAGCAGATTCATTCAAGAACTGAGATTTGATAAAGTCAAATTCTGGTCGCAAACCAGTCAAGAAACCGATAACAGCCACTTGTTCCCTCTGAGTCTGCATGGCTTTGACATTAACACTTAATGGAAGAAGAGAGTTAAGGTCCTCATACACTTTCTTGAACTCCATGACATACGTAGTCAGTGATCGGTCTTGTTGTTCTCCATGATGAAAGGACTTACAAACACTATAGATTCAAGATATGTACTTTGTCCATAATACAGAAAATCAAGATAATCCATAAGTTCCTTCACATATTCACAGTGACTAACCAAAGATGAAACAGTAGGCTCAATAGCATTGATAATTTGCAAATACAAACGAGCATCACTTTGGAACCATGAATCAAAACTGTTACCTTTAGGAGGATCCAATGTGAGATGAGAAGCCATTCCCATGCTCCGGAGATAGATACGAGTAGTTTTGCTCCACTCAAAGTAGTTGGAGCCATTAAGCTTGTTGTCGGTGAGCTTAACATTTACTGGGAGCATCTCGGGTACACGTAAACTACTGTTACTATCAGATGTTTTGTCTTCTCCGATAATCTTCCAATAAATCACGAACCAAAAGAGAGAACGTAGAACTTAGGACGAAGGATAGCAAACCATAAGGCAAACGACGGACTCACAGGGTGCCAAATAGCCGACGAACGGAGATGAGGACAATCGTGCTCAAAGGGTGCCAAAGAAACCGACGAGCAGAAAACTTCCAACCCAAGGAAACTTGTCGATCAAGAAAAAAATGATGAAAAAATTTCGATCTAAGGGGAAAGAAACATACCAAAAAAATTTGATCCACGAAACTAGTGATTGTTACGAAACCGAGCTCTGATACCATGTAGAATTCTTTGTTTATTTCACTTGTCTTAAAAGAGGGAGGTACAAAGGCTATATATACACAAAGAATATGAGAAGAAAAGGAAAGGATTCCTAAGATATTCATAGCAGCAAATTACAAGGAGATATTACCCATAATCTCCAATTCCTATTTTACAATGACATCGAGTATCTTCAAGGATATTGAGTATCTTAACAATCAGAAATTGTAATACCTATTGTCTAAATATGTCTCATAAGGCATTTATCTCTCAGGTGGATAAGAAAGTAATTCCTACAAGAATTCATGAGGGTTTATGTGATCAGAAGTGCAATGTTGTCATCATGGAGGAAATTAATACCCTTGAAGAAACTGAGACATGGGAGATTGTCAAGATTCTTGAATGAAGAAAGTTGGTTAGGTGTAAATAGGTATTCTCAATCAAAGTTGGTGCTCATGGAAAAACTTTGAGATACAAAGGCAGGTTAGTTGCCCAGAGTTATGCTCAGACCTTATGGAATGACTATGATGAAACATTCGCTCTAGTAGGAAAATAGAATTCTATTCGACTTCTACTCAGTCTTCAAGCAAATTTGGATCAGGTTCTACACCAATTGGATGTAAGAAATGTGTTACATAACGGAAGATTGAAATAATACGACTAATGATTCTCTCTATGGATGTCATAAAAATGGAGAAACTGGCAGAGCATGCAAATTGAAGAAGTTTTTGTATGCGTTAAAACAGTCTCCATAGGCATGGTTCAATCGATTCAGTACCATGATGAAAAATTTGGATACATGCAAAAGCAAGTTGATCACAATCTATTTGTTAGAAACTCTAGTGATGGTAAGGAAAAACAATTTTGCTATTGTATGTTGATGATATAATTATCACAAAGAATGATATCATTACCATAAAGAATGATATTCAAGAGATTGAAAACTTGAAGAAAACATTACAGCCTACGTTTAAAGTTAAGAATCTTAGAAGGATACATAACTTTCTTGGCATGGAAGTTGCTAGAAGTAAGCAAGAAATCTTCATTTTAGAAATTCTAAAGGAGATAAGAAAACTTGGGTGCAAACCTGTTGGCACTCCCTAGTCCCTCGGAAAAGAATCGGAGAACCAAGGTAACCAAGGATAATCCTCTGGTTGATCTTGAGAGATACCAGCAGTTGTAAGGAGGTTAACTTACCTATCCTATACACGTCCAAATATTGCATAAGCGTCGATATTGTGAGCCAGTTCATAGCTCACCCACAAAGAGACACTTTGAAGCTATTAAACAGATCTTTCGGTCTCTTTAGGATAAATGAAGGGAGAGATATTGAAGGGTATGCAGATGTTGATTTGGGAAGTTCAGCGCGTACCAAGTTCACCAGCGGAGATTTTACCAACATTTAGGGGAATTTAGTCAGTAAAAAACAAATTGTAGTGGCTCGGAGCAGTGCAGAAACAGTGGATAGAGCCATCGCTCAAGGAATATGTAAGTTGATTTGTATTAAGAAGCTGCTGGAGAAACTCAAGGTAGAAGTAGTCGGTTCAATGGAGTCAGACAATGACAGCAAACCTGCTATTGTGATAGTTCACAATCCTATTCAACACGATAGGATGGATTCATGTTCAAATAGACAGAGATTTAATCAAGACGGAAGTGGAGAAGGGAATTGTTAGCCTGCACTACATGCCAACAAAACTACAAGGATAAGGGTTCACTTCACCAAAGCCTTACTAAGATCACATTAAGATATACTTCACCAACTTGTGGGGAAGTGTTGAAAAATAAAATAGGATTCTTTCCTAAAAGTAAAATAGAATTATTTCCTAATTGCATCTATTTTAGTTAGGTAGGAAATTCACTTACTTTGGTAGATTTTAATGCTATGTAAAAGTAAATCAGGAAACTAGATCCCCAAGATGAAGCAGTTTCCATGTAAATCTAGTCCTATATATATTGTACATTGTTGGATAATGGTATTCTAGCCTAACCTTGTTTCAAAATTAGCAATAGTCTCGACAAAGAATCACAAAATACTTAAAAAACTATGCACTTTTGTGAAAAACCCCATACTTGAAGTTTCCTGCTTCTCCCTCTTTGGTCCCATTCACCACATACTTGTTTTCATCAATTTCCCATAAAACTTTTCAAAACCTCTCTATCTATCCATTCTCTACAACAAATGTAGACTGGGAACTATATCATGTAATCATAGTCAGACAAAAAAGAAACACCAAAATATCAATGGTCTAATACTTTATGTACACTAGGTGACACTTATTATGTATGGATCAAAAAACTGTATGTGAGCCTAATATCATTTAACATTGTTGGAGTCCCACATCGGCTACACTTGGACCATTTCTCCTGTATATATGTTGGAACCTCCCCTTTCTCCTCAAGGGCTCATTTGGAGACTGATGGGGGTTCCACATATTTTCACATGGTATCAGAGCCAAGGTCTGCCACTCTGGGGACTCGACACTCTGGCTAACCCCCTCTGGACACCTGGGGCAATTTGTGTCCATATAGCCTCCTTTGGAGGGGGCACCTCCCCTTTCTCCTCAAGGGCTCTTTTGAAGAGT